GCCAGCCAGCGTCTTAATGTTCTCACGTGCGGCAAGTGAAGCACCTCCCTCAAGAAGCGATAGGCTTTCGGTGAATGGAAGAATAGGTTTAGTTGAAATTGTTTTATTTCCTTTGACCAATGTTTTTTAGATTTTAGAAAAGAACAGAGCCAAATTTTAGCTTTCACCAATTCAGAAAGGTCTCTTGGTAAATGTGGTTCAATCCTGCTCAGTGCCTCAAGTCGTGTTATATTTTTAACTTGGTGTTTCCGTCTAATTCTCGCCAATGCCTTGCGGTACTTGTTTTTTCGATTCACAAGGTCATCCGTATGTTTTTTGGTTCTAGGGGTGTACACAGAAGCATTTTTTCTACGGGCTGGTTTTGGTGTGCTTTGAAAACCTGTGGACATCGCTGCAGTCAGTGGAGTTCGTGAAAGCCCCGAGAGGCCACTGGAACCAGCAGGACCTAGAAAACAATGTTAATCATGTTAGTACTGCGATATAATGCATCTTGCAGTATGAAAATAAAATAAATCACATAACTTATTACCTGTAGGTCAAGAATAGAATTTGGTATGCTTTTTAACAAGACTTCTTCATGTGCAAGACAGGCAGAAGTTCAAAGAAAGGTGGAAACCAGAAGGAAATGAAAAAATTCATGAACACGGGGTGTCGCTGTAGCCAATGTTTCCACAATTGTAGATTTTTTTCAAGGCTGCTTGTTGAATCATCGGCTCCAGTGACACCTCGTGGTAATTTTCCACCTCTATTTTTTATACAGAAGTATCTTTTAGTTATTTATGGAAAAAATTGTGCTTCGCTATCCTTACTACTCTTACATGTGCTGCTTTGCACCTTTTGAAATCAAGGAACCGTCACTGAAGCTCTTTAGGAGGTGGATCAGTTACACTTTGCTCTATCTGTTGCACCACATTCTGTGGGACTGTTTGTGTTTACTACATCGCCTATATTCATCATGGAACTATATGTGCTTTGAAATCTATCGTGCGGCTGACATATTGCCTCATAAGAATGTTCCATTCAAATGCCAAACTATTCTATCAATAGGCGTAAAACACGGTTCTTCATATCATACCTTACATGTTATGCCTGCCTAACTGCATGGGGGAATTACAGCTGTTAAATGTGCAATAGTTTTGTGAAACAACATGTAATTCAGTGAACAGACGTACACTCATCTGGAACACTGTCTGTTATTTATGAGGGTGGTGTGCCAAATTGTGTGGCCGTGGTTGGTTTGGGTGATGACAAAGCTGCAGCAGCTGTTGAGCAGGGCGGTGTGGCTTCTGGGTGAGAGCCATCGGCAGGGAATTACAAAAATAAATATTGAATGAGACATACAAAGGCGAGAGGTATACATCACAACAATGTGTGCATCTGAAATCAAGTTTCCAAACCAGCTTTATATGCTGGTGCTCTGAATAGTTGCTACTCTAGTGAAACAACTCTGGTGCACAGCCATTGCAGATATGGGTAACTCTTTTTTTTCCTATTCCCCCATTTTACTCTTTCCTTTGTGCAGAGTAGTAGGCTAGCACACACTAGCTCAGGCTGACCCTTCTACCTTCCCATAATCTTCTTGCTCTCTCTTTTTCTCTGCTTGTGTTCACTAGTACATGACAACATGTCATCATACTGTTTTGCGCTCCAGCATGGTAATGAAGTCACAAGCAAAACATTGATATGAAGTAAACCAGTGCAACTGAGATGTCATGCATAAAGGAGGAGCCTGTAGCCATATAATAGAGCAAATGGAATCCTTCCAGATGAGCTCAAGTCGTCTTTCAGCACAGCTGGAGGGCTGCTGGCAACCCACCAAAACTAAGTTTTACAGTATATATCCCCAGTAAAGGTGAAACTGTGGCATCACTATGAGAAAAAACAAACTACACTCTGAAATTCATAGATGATTGACAAGTGGCTTGCTTTAATGAGAATATGATAAAAAAACATGTGTAGTTGTACTTGTAAAGAATCTGTCTCCCATGTAGTGGTACAGTAGTATGATTCATAAGTTGGCAAAAACGGTGGAGCTCACTTACGCTCACTCATGAAGGATATTTTGGACTTAGGACTCAATCAGACTTGTACTCACCAAAAATTACCCGAGCTGGACTCGCTTAGACTCACGCTCACGAAAATTTTCTTTAACCGGACTCAGGCTCGCCAAAATATTGCTCACTGGGATTCACTCAGACTTGCGGCTTTATCGAAGTCTGAGTGAGTCGGCTCATTAATGAGTTGGCCGACTTATGAGTACAATGCAGCGTTTTCCAGTGAAGCTGGCGTGATGAAGCATTAACATGGCTACCTTGAATTGCACAAACCTTGCTCCAGTTAGGTGCCGCGCACATGTACTTATCTTGTCCTTATGCTTCCTGCACGACTCTATACAAGGGAAGCTTGTTCCTGGTATTAGCAACACTGACATTCATTATTTTGGTTTTCTGTTCTGTCAGCTAAGGTTTTATGTGCATTTCATTTCTTCTTATGTTGTCAGCACACTTGTGAATACTTCGCATGGCTGAAATTCTTTTTCATCTCGAAATGATCACCTATATAGAGATTGTTCTCACAATGAATAATGTGTAAACCATATCCTCTGCACATGTTGAAATAATACTTGTGTAAAATTAGCAGTTCTTTTGAGCATGGCAAGAAGCCGCAGCTTCTTTCCATGCACATTAAAAATGCAACTTTTTTACCTCATGGGCTACTGTTTTCTGCTTCTGCCACGGTTGATGCTCGGCAGTAGTCTGCAGTGACAAAATACTATCAATATTTCAGAAATCGGCTTAGAAGACTATGAGCAAGTACATTTACATTGCATACATTGTAAGTGCTTACAGTGTTCAAACAGAGGGCATTTTGTGAGCATATCTGTAGCAAAAAAAAATTTTTGTACCACAGAGTGCGTATGCACATCACACAGACCAATTTTAGCCTTAAAAACAATGAAGTAAATAATTCACCTTTACATTGCAGATTTTGCTCTTAATCATATGTACTTCCCAAGCAATGCCTCATTAACAGAATCAATATCCCTTTTTGGGTGGCTTACCATGCTTGTTCATCTCTTGAAAAAAATCTAATATAAAACGTAATAGGTTAGGTGCAATTACAAACTCAAACAAATTGGAGACATTTATATGGATGTTAGTAAAGAGCAAGAGTAATGCTTGATCAATGCCAACTACTAATCACCTGGGTGCACCAAGGGCCTCAGCCTAGGCTCTTGCACTTTCACGGGGGACTGCTCCATGGCCTAGCCTTTTGCAAGCATTGTTGGTGAAGCAGTCCCTTGTGAAGTGCTTTGAGCACAGCATATAGGTGGCATGAACTTTCCTTTTTGGTTTTTTCTTCAGGTCCGGCCTGTTGGCGTAATGAAGCCACGCTTCAAATCTGAAATGTAGGGGATGGTACTCAAGTTGAACCTCTCATATATATGTATAAAATGTGTGTGTGTGTGCATTTCCCCCTAATAATGAAATGTGTGTGTGTGTAAATCCCCACGAAAATTTTCAGTTTTGCTTGTGTACGTATGCATGCAACCATACAAATGCATGCACGAACAGAACGTATGGTTGAACCCCCTCCCGCACCCCGAAAAAGATTTCTGGCTACGCTCCTGGTGTCTGTGAGAGAAAGACATTGTGTATGACACATCAAGAGGTGAAAAAACATGGAAGAGTTTTAGTTCTTTCGCCAGGAAGATGTACACGAAGGATTTCATGTCGGGTAAACATCGCGTCCGGGACAGGGGGGGGGGGGGGGTAGAGATCTATAAATAGGAAAAATGCTAAGTGATTACCGTAACTCAGCTCACGAGAGAAGGTATGAGGAGGGATTAAAAGTGATAGAGAGAGGCAAAGTTTGATACGAAAGAAAAAGACTGGGAGACGGTCAGAGGAGTTCGAGGACGGCGGGCCGATCGGCGAGAGCTCTAGGCAAGCACCGGGAGGTCGCGGATGATACAACTATTCGGAGCGCATGTGCAAATGAACTCCCCCCCTTCCCTCCTCAACGGGTGTTTAGTCTGTTTCTGTTAATTCGCGATACCACAACCTCACCGTTTCTAAAATCGACAATTCCTAGTTCGTACATGCTTATTTCGCGTCGCATAAATCCTCAGACGGCCGCGAACTTGCTGCAGCGTTCAGTAAGGAGATTTTGAGAGAATCGCGACCTCGTTATATACATACCTATAGATACGCTGAAGCTAATAAGGTAACTACGCCCAGGTTACCTACGCTTCTCACGCCTGGCGTTAGGTTCACCTATTCTATCACGAGGCTCACTGTAAAGAGCGCGGTAGCGAATATAATGACCGACCAAAGTATTGCGCAGTAGATCCTTTTAGCGAGCAATCAAATGCTTGTTGTAATTTTATTTCTCACGAACTGTGCGGACAAAGACCAAAGAAAACTTACATATTGATGTCGCTGATAATGATAAAAATTATTTTTCACCGATTCACGTAACGGCTTCGTTGCCGAATGACGCGCGTTGTTGCTCGCCCCCAACTAGTCAGCGGCATTCATACGAAATAACGTGGATGAACGTACCTGTTGCCGGTAGGAACCTTGAAGAAGTGATTCACACCCTTCTTTGCGGAGCTGCTGCCCCATTTTGCGCAGCAATATGCGTGATAATTTGATGCCATCATGACCTGATGCAGCTTGCTGCGACTGCACCGGCTGATGCTCCCGCATACGAGTCGTCTGCTACTGTCGTCTGCTCCCGCCCTAGCAACTCTCGTTTCGCAAACAATTAATCAAACATTTCTACTGGCTTGTATTATGTTTGCATAAAAACTAACAGTTGTTTATTTTTATGTTTCAAGTTCACTTGCTGTACAAAAAGCGTTTACCTACGCACGGGGTAAGCTGTCTTTGTTGTGATGGTAGCGACGCTTTACGGCGTGGCCGCGAAGCTTACAACATGCCACTGGCTGGTACAGTCATATATATATTAAGAAGCTCTATGGGTACAGCCACATCAATCCATCTACTGATCCATTTGTCCACTCATCTTCCCCTAGTAGTGATGAAAGCCAGAAAACACGGCGCTGGCCGTCTCGGAGGTCATGCAAACACCATCGAACGTTTCCGACATGGAGCGTTGTGAATTTCAGGTTAGTGCGATACGTTTATGTTGAAGACGTTTATGTATCCAGTGTGTCGGTGTTTAACGCTTGTCGCCAATGTACCCTTGCGCGTAGAGTGGCAGCGGCAAAGACGAAGTCTTCGCGCAAACTGTTCGCAAGGAGATAACGAATTTTGTACAAGGTGGCGTTGAAAACAGGTAAAGTGAAGTTCTGTTTGTTATCTACTAATATTGTTATCAAGCTTGTATGCAGTTTATATTGGTCCACAACAATGACTAAGCTTAATTGGAATTACTGTTGAATGTTCCGTCTGTCATGCGATGAGAAGTGACACCGGTCAGCATGCGTCTTTAAAGGTAGTGTTGGCACCTGGAAATTTGAGCTGTGGGTAACGCTGTTGCTCAACTTGGAAGTTGAAGCGTGTCGTTCTTGTTGAAGTGCTTGTATACAGTTTGATCTAAGTATCTAGTTATATAAAATTTGATGTAAACATCAGATGTGTATCCTTTTTCATAGTTTTAACACACTCGCTCGATCTCTGTCTCTCTCCAGTGTGCTGATCTTTCCAGTTCTACCGAAACGCGAAAGATTCCTGACTCACAAGGTTGTTGAAGAAGAGTTTGAGGATCTGTGCAGTTTCTCAGTGGGAGTCACTCTTAGAAGGACAGCTGTGTGCCTGAAGTCGCGGCTTATTTTGTAAATTACGTCATTTGTTTTCTTCCTGCTCTGATATTGCAAAAGCACATGGTCTTGACGGAAGTATTTCCTTTCCAGTGCATTTAACAGCGGCTTCTGCCTAATTGAAGCAGCGCGGAAAGTTGCGGTGAGGCTCTGCAGAGAGAAAGGGCTTCCAGTCGACTTCCTTTCACATAGCATCGAGAGACCGCCACCTTCAAACAGAGAGATGCAAGCACCGAGGTCGGCACGGTAACATACGCCAATGTTGAAAGCATGCCATTAATGTTACATTTTTCTGTTTCTCTTCATTGCATGCCTACCACACATATGAGCATTAAAAAAAGAACAGTACATATAGAGCGGACAACAGGCATTTCAGAATAGGGGAAAAAAGTTGTTAACCTTGACTGACAGAAACTAATGGCATGGTTTGCTGTTCTGTGGCACTCAGTAGGGTATTTTTAATTGAAATCGGTTATGCAACATATTTAATATTTACTTTAAGGCCAAGTATATTTCACTGTTGTAAAGGACATTCCCAAATTACCGGTCCAATTTTTTGTGGCAATATGTGGTGACTGTTTTTGTTGTTTAAAGAAAGCCATAGAATGTGAAGTGAAACCATGTGACTGCATTCATGTGCTACTGTGTTGCAGCTCGTTCAAATATTCTTCGAGTGAAAGAACCACACACGTGGTTTATGGCGAAATGAGCGGCCAGAGCTCCAGGCATTGGTTTCACATTGAGTCAGCATTTTTTATAGCGATGCACAGCAGTGAAATGCTGCTGCCCCTGATAAGTGATAGGTTGCACCTATTAGGCCAAATTGTGAAAAACACGAAATCGGTTATGTCGCAGTGTACAGATTTGAATGTGAAATCGAAAAATATGATGTTAACCATAGTTCTCTTTCATTAAAAAGCCTGTGATGGTACAAATAATGGCAGTAAGGTTTCGAAAAATTATTTATCCATCTAAATGATGTTTCACTTTAGTGTCTCTTTGACTTTGAAGGTGATGGGTATGTAAGGTTTGATCATGCAAATTTGTTGCTCCACTTCTTAAATGCAGGCGGCGTCAACGGCGTCCAGATGTACAGTTGTATGTGCCACGAGGTCGAAAAGTTGAGGCCTTGAAATCTGACGCCAAAGATGCCCCTGCACAAGCAGCAAGGGTGCCTTCAAAACACTTGCTAGAAAGGAGAGCACCATTGGCAACAACAGATGCCACAGAAGCCTTGACACTTGAAGCAAAAGATGGCAATGCACAAGCAGCAACGGTTCCTTCGCCACACTTGCCCGAAGGCCAAGCACCCTTTCCAACAACAAGTGCAGCTGAGGCCTTGAAACCTGATGCGAGGGATGCCTCTCCACAAGCGGCAAGAATGCCTTCTCCATGCCTGCCAGAACGGCAAGCACCTTTCGCAACAGGTGCAGCTGATGCTCTGAAGGATGATGCAAGATATGCCCCTGCATTAGCAACAAGGGTGCCCTCCCCATGCATGCCAGAAAGCCAAGCACCTTTTTCAACAACAGATGCAGCAGAAGCATTGAAACCTGATGTAAGAGATGCCCTTGCACAAGCAGCAACGGTGCCTTTGCCACACCTGTCGGAAAATCTGGCACCTTTTGCAACAACAGATGCGGCTGATCCTCGATGCATAGAGGACACTGGATATCATTATATCAAAGCACATTCAGAACACATAAAAAAAGCCTGTGCTCAATTGGACGAAGACACTAATGTGCGTGATATGGATAGTGTTGCGGACTGTGCATGCCAGGTATTAGACAGTAACTGTGATATGCTCTCCACAAGTGGGAATTCTGATAATGGTAAAAGTGTGATCCAAGGGTGCTTGTCACTTTCCCAGGAAAATGACTGTGAATGCATTATAAAGGCCGCAAACGAATGTTATGAAGAAGTGAATTCATTGCAGGCATTTTCATCTACTGCAACAGGGAGTGTAGGTACACAAAAAAAGACAGGCCTGCAGGTGTTGCAGTGTAGTGTTGGCATCGTAGTGGATGACAATGTTGTGAGAACTAGTGAAAGGACTGAAAATGCAGTGCATGAAGAGCGGTCACCTGCAAGTCATATGGAGATGGCACAGTTGTGTGGTGAGCATGTAGACACTGCTGGAGATAGCATGGAAGCAAGCCTTGAAGAGAGCCATGAAGATGCTGAGGATTCATGGGATGCTCTTTTTGATGAAACAGGGGAATGTATTGATCCAGATGTATTGAAAAATGTGAGTGAGTTTGATCAAATATGTCTTGGTTTATTTTATTGATGCTCAAGTGGCAGTTTGTACTTCTTTGTGCTGCCTATCTACTTGAATTTCTGGCGCCAAGCATGCCTTTCTCTTAAGTTTGTTCTATGGAAGGAAAAAAAAAAAGCGGGGCCGTGGAGTTGAGTTTGCTAAGGGGCAAACAACAAAGGGGAGTCCACATCTTGTCTTATATTCTTTGTTAAGCTACAGCTTGACGTCACGGACGTCATACCTATGACGTCCGTGGACACTGTATTTGCATGGCAAATAGATTGTTCATGAAGTTTAGTATAGGGATATACCGTTAAAGTGTATAGGCTTGCCTACGTCTTGAATGCCATGGTCATGAACCGTTCGAAACTCCCACTGTGCTGCACTATTAATGGTCATGTCAACATGTAGCCTGCAACTTATCCACATTCTAGTTATTGTCACTGATGAAGCATGACCTTAACATATGTGGCTTTGATCTGGTGATTTTTTTTTGCTTGTTATAACATTATGTGTACAGTGTAAAAGTTGCAAAAAAAATTGCAACTGTGTAGTTTGCACTTGGCTATGTACTGCTTCTCACTGTTGCTGCTGCTCTAAAGCTCTTTGCTGTGGGGTAGCTTATTGACAAAATTAGACCACATGTCACAGGCATTCCTTATTTTTGACTGGCAACTTTCAACTGTCCTTGAAGTATCAAGTATGCGCTCATTGAATTCCTCCGGTACTAACATATTGGGCATAAGAATAGCAGAGAAACTCGAGTACAAGTTAATGAACACATTGTGTGATGGAACAAAAAAATTATAGATGTAACTTCAAGAAATGGGTAAATAGAAGAGTGGATCGGAGAACAAACAAGGGTCGCTAATATCTTAGTGGACATTAAAGGGATGCTGAACAAACGTTTTTCCACCGATTTTTTCAGCCAAACTGAAAAATTGGGTGCTGAAATCCTAACTGCCGCATCTAGCGGCTGCACCATGATAGGAGGTGAAGTTTAAAGGAGCTTTGCGATGTTTTCAGCAGCACTGGAGTGTGCGTAGTGTTGAATACTGGGACAGATGCAACACAAATTATCAAAATTGATGCATGGTAGTGGAAGTTATTAGTCTTGAAAACCCCTGCTGACGATGAGAAAAAAACGTTCCCATTTGCATTTCACTCTTCCACTGAGGTCGAAGGCCAGTTTCAATAACTGCGCGCCTTTTACAGACACATACCAGAAGACTCTCCTCGTGGTGGCAGTTGTGCAGCTTACCTAGCACTGTTTTGTAGCTGTTTTCAAGATCTGTTTAAAAGCTGTCAGGGTGGCACGACCTGACTAGGTCGTGCCACCCTGGCAGTCGTGTTTGCAAAGGAGATTTGTAGCAATTTTGCCTTGAATAAACTGCAAATGAGTTGTTTTCAAGATTTCTTATTTAAAAATGGGATAACTTTGTATCTTGGGAAGTATTACATGTGCCACGCCGATGTCTTCACTGCCACTTCATGAAACATCACTTCAAATCACAAAATTAGCCATTGTGTGTTTCTCTAGTCCAAAACCAACGTGGTTTCTCCGTTGAAATAAAATTATAACAGCTTTGTTTTTCGTGAAATCGGAACTTGGCTAAATTTAATGTTAAAACGTTATATAGTGAGGCAGGGCTATCTGTGCTGTTTGAGCAGTAAGAGAATGTTAAATGGCATGCAATAAGGCCCAAAAAATTTAAGAGGACATGTGAGGCTTCTACACTGCTGAAGAACGTACACGTCCTATGCTAACATGGCTTAGTTGACAGGAGAGAATTAGGGATGGGGTTTCTTATCTATAAAAATGTAGCTGGCATTATCGAGGAATACTATAGCATTAGTGAGAGGGTGGCCAGTATCATAGTTAAGATAAGAGGTACACAATGTATGTGGCACAGGCCTAAGTGCCTAAATCTAGCCATGATGATGATTTGGTTGAACGCTTTTACGAAGTCGTAGAATCAACAATGAGTACAGTAAAGACATATTATACTGTACTGATGGGCGATTTTCATCCCAAGCTAGTTAAGAAGAAGGCTTGAAACTGTGCAGTGCGGGAATATGGCCTCGGCTCTAAGAATACCAAAGGGGAGTTACTTGTAGAGTTTGCAGAATGCAATAATTTATGCATCTTGAATACCTTCTACAGAAAACGGGCTAACCATAAGTGGACATGGAGAAGTCCTAATGGTGAAACTAAAAATGAAGTAGACTTCATACTCTGTGCAGAACTAGGCATTGTAAAGGATGTGGAAGTTGTTGGCAATATTTGATGCAGTGACCATAGAATGGTAAGGTCTCGAATTCGCTTAGACTTGAGAGAGGAATGGCAGAAACTGATATGCAAGAAGCCAATGAATGAGCTAGTGGCAAGAGGGAAAGTTCAGGAATTCAGAATTTCATTTCAGAACTGATTCGTGGCTCTAACCGAGGAAATCGACGTTAGCAATGACGCAATGATCGATAATATGACTACATAGTATTATTAAGAAGTGTACAATAGATGTCGAGGGTACAGTAATTAGACATGACACTAGTAAACTATACCAGGAGACGAAAAATGTCATAAGAAATGTCAAACCATAAAAGCCTCAAGTGCAACTGACAAAGTAGAGCTGGTGGCGCTTTCAAAGTTAATCAATAGGCCTAATGTAGCCGACATAAGAAAGTATAACATGAAGAGAATTGAGAATGCTGTAAAGAGCAGAAGAAGCCTAAAAGCTGTGAAGGCAGAACTGTGCACTGGCAAAAATCAGATGTGTGCATTATGGGACAAGGAAGGCAAGCTCACAACCAATATAAATAGGATAGTTGAGGTAGCGGAGGAGTTCTACAAAGAATCATATAAATTACAGAGCATTGAAGGCTACATCAAACCAGAAAATTGTTTTCATAAGTGAAAACAAAGCAATTAGCTTTATTAAAAGAATAACGACTACTTGAAGTACATGTCCCCTGAAGGATCAGCTGAACATGTAGCATCAGCAGAATGGGCGTGGCATTTTTAAAGACCACTGTCTATTCAATAAAATATTTTAAGAAAAACTTATATTTCGAGCAGAAGCTCATTTTTGTTTTATTTTGAGAATAGCCTCTAAGTGCATTTCAAACGACTCTTCTTCATTGCTCTTCCATATGGTGGCTATTAGTAGTGCGATTGCTAGTAGAGCTCTAAAAATATGTCAAATTAGAAATGATACCAGTGATAAACTTTTGCCTTTGCGATTTGACTTTTCATCTTAGATTACTAAGGCCTTGGGTGAGATCAAAGTGCAGCAAGCACAACTTGATTACTCTAAGTTTGTGGATCGCAGTCCCAATTTATCGGAGGAAGGTATGTGCCCTTCTATTGAATTTTGATTATTTTGTTCCTATGAATGAAAAATTCTGTGGGGTGTTTACAGAGTATGGCCATGTCCTTGAGATGTACGATTTTCCTGCTGAATTCAAAACAAAAGATCTTGTGACAACGCTGTCATCTTGCAGGTAAGTATAAATTTCTTGTGACTAATGATAGTTGGGTATAACACACACTTTGAGACTCAAAGTGTAGATTTTAAGAGTGGCCTGTCTGCAAGTAAGGACCAAATATTTTGTGGCAGTTTTTAAAGTAAAATTGAAGTGTATGCTTAATGTATTTGACGTTGCCTCTTCCTTCATTTTATTTCAGAGATCAATTTAGCATTAAGTGGGTGGATGACACGCATGCATTGGCAATATTTTCATCGCCATTTGCTGGTGAGTTTTTGTACAATGCAAAAGTGAGATGTAGTTCATGCATTGGCAATATTTTCATCGTCATTTGCTGGTGAGTTTTTGTACAATGCAAAAGTGAGATGTAGTTCTGTGAAGTTGTGTCAATTCTCAATTAGGTAGGTGGGTTATGAATATTGATGCTGTAGCATTTGGTAGTGCACGTTTACACAACGGGAAATACACAGGCATTTAATACTTGGAACTAAAACATTATTTAATAGCAGGTTGTGCATGATGCATACATGCAATCGATATGTTGTGTGAAGACTTCAAGTGTGACGCTACGAAAATGTTTGTGAAGATGGCAGCACACATACCAGCAAAGAAGCTGTATTCCTTTTCTTTTTTTTTTAGTAAAATAGTGTTATGCATTTTCAGAAGGTTCGATTGGTTTAAAAAGCTGTACGTGCCTATTCCTTCGTTGCGTCCCTCCTTGTAATTGTGGTACCTGAAGCTGTGGGATTTTCCTTGCTGTCATCTCAACAACAATTCTTGAGTTTTACGTGCCAACATTCTGATATAATTTGAGGCCTGTTGCATTGGAGGACTTCAGAATGAGTTTGATCATCTGCAGTTTTTAAACTTGCACTTGTGTTCTTGTATTTTGCCCTCATTAAATTTTTGGGGCAGCCACAGCCGGGAATCAAATTAACATCCTTAACATCCTTGGGCTAGCAGTGTGACGCCTTACCTGACTGGATTTATCCCGTTCTTGCTGAACGCTGAACAGTAGTCTTTTGCTTGAACTTTTTTCTATGTGTACTTGCAAAGTGGTGCTCTATAGATTGTGCATTGTACCTCACAGTTTCCTTTCTCTCCCAGCGACCGAAGCTCTCAGCCTGCAGAATTCACTTGTGAAAATGAGGCCCGTCTCTGAAGCATCCAAGCAATCTAAGTTAAAGATTAAGCATTGTAGCGGTAAGTCTGACTCTATTTAGCAGACATCCCTCCCCACCCAAACTTTTGTCCCTCATTTCTCCTGAGGGCTGTTTGTCGACCCAGGTGCATTTTGGTTCATCTGACTGGTCTAACTGACCGAGAGGGAGAGAACGTGTTTAAATGGGCCGTGCAACACTTATGAAATCATGGAATGACTCCACTATTGAACTGCAAGGTCTCGTGAATCTCCCTCTCGCAAAAAGCAGTGTCAAAGGTTGCTATCATAGCAGCATTTTGCCTTCTTTCTTTTTCTGTATTTACTAATACACTCAAAGCTACACGTTGGGTATGACAGGGTAGCTAGGCCCTGTTCAAAATTAGATTCGGCACATTTCAAGACCTTGAACACATTTTCTTTTCCTTAGAGTGCAGTCTACCTCTAGTGCACAAGTTTCCAGACGGGGCATTTTGGCCGCTTCACGTCCATATTTTCGCGACTCCAAATGAGCACTTGCCACCTAGCGGCTGCACCTGGAAACCCCACTAACAGGGTCAATCTTGAACGAATATATGTTACCACGTTGCGCGTTGAGAAGCGGTCGCATAGTTTCTTTATTTTCACCATGCCTCACGCATGAGCCAGAAAAAGAAGAAAGCGATGTCCAGAGACCATTGCAGTGTGCTGCGATGCATGGCATGGCAATGGAAAGATGAAAATTAACGCATTTTTTATCGCTTCTTGAAAGATGCAGACGACGCGTGACGAAGAATGGCACAAATCAGAAACTTATGCATTGCAAAGAAAGTGACGAACACGATAGTTTGTTCCAATCAGTTTGTTCACGGCAACTTAATTTGCCTCGGTGAGTACACCATTACTTAGCGTGTGTGCATTCAGGTCAACATTTGGGCATCTCTAAGCGCAAAGTAGTATTGACCGCTTATAACGTAAGTTGCAGGAGTCCCAAATATCCGGACTATAAGCGGTACCGCACTATATAACCAAAACAGCTCTTTTCAAGGGCCGCACTTCCGCAAAACATGTTGAGCCTGCATCTTCGTGTGTCTGAGAATTGAAGCATGCCATGCGTGGTGCTTACAACCATTTAAATTTCTGAATGTTAAAAAAAATTAGCATCCCAAAACATGCGTTGCCAAGGAAATGAGTGAAAAAAAAAAAAAAAAAAGCGGGTGTGGTTGTCTAACAAAATAAAGCACCATTACGAAAATTTGCCTACTACTTTTAAGACCTCCGCGAGTATGCGCATTAAGAAACTATGTTGAGTCACGTCCAAAATTTCACACACTGAAAGGCGACAATAATTCGATTTCACAGGCGTGCACACGATTTTGAGACATCGCAATCGTGTCGCAAGCCACCATTCGAACGCTACACGTGCCACTCGCGTTTTCATTAACGATAGGTATCCCTTCTCGTCAAGTGAAGCCACTGCAAAGAGCTTCGTTGATTCCGTACTAAGCCGCAACTTAGATAGCACGCGACTGCCCCGTCGCGGTGGTCTAGTGGCTAAGGTACTCGGCTGCTGACCCGCAGGTCGCGGGTTCAAATGCCGGCTGCGGCGGCTGCATTTCTGATGGAGGCGGAAATGTCGAGGCCCGTGTGCTCAGATTTGGGTGCACGTTAAAGAACCCCAGGTGGTCGAAATTTCCGGAGCCCTCCACTACGGCGTCTCTCATAATCATATGGTGGTTTTGGGACGTTAAACCCCACAAATCAAGATAGCACGTGACCGCTACCGAAATGCAAGAATGCCAATTAGGCCTAGCGTGCCGTTCGGTATGCTATTGCGGGAAGTTTGTCTAAGGCATGAAGATCCAGCCGTAAAAGGTTTTAAACTTGTGGATGAAGTAGCAAACGTTAGCTCTGCAGCAAACTCGATAACGACGACCCTTTACCAGACAGGAAATGGTTAAGCGCAGCTGATAAGGACGGGATAGCACGTGCCGTGTCGAGCGGGGCGGCCTGAGCCACGCTAGCGACGTTAGTACACAGCGGCATCGGTGTCGAGGCAAAGGCTTATCAGTCGCTGAAGCAACCACTTTTTTTTTGCTTTTCTCTTTCTTCCCTCTGCCTTTCATTCACTCCGCGTCCCCTTCTCCTCCGTAATGACCTCGTGGCTTGCTCCCCAGCGGCACGCCCAGCGTGCCTCCTTTTAGACGCGCACGCGCTACCGCATTTGTCACAAAGATTTTCTGGCAACTGCATTATAACTGGTCTTTCAACTTGGCGGTACTGCACAATGAGCGGTACGCCTATACATGAAATTCTATGGAAGGGTAAACAGGAGTCCAGAAAGACCGCATTGTAACCAGTTTTGCACTCTAAGCGGTTACGTTATAAGTGGTCCACTGTGTATATAGTTTCATTTATATAAGCAAGTCCTTTGGAAAATTCACTGTGTTTCATGTGTGGCTCTATGTTTCGCATCTACTTTTCTGTGCAAGTCATAGTGCTACTAGTGGTGGGAAACCTGTGCCAATTGCGCCAACTGGAAATTTCTGCACCATGCATACCGCTCCAAAAAGGTCCTTTTTGTCTGATTTGCACAATTGCTGTGCCACAAAGTGGTTTTGGAACTGAATTTCATGGTGATAACGAGCATATGAGCAGATATTACGTGATAGTCACCATCTTGTACACTTGCACTGCTGCATTCGCATATGAATCGGCCGATAAATTATTCACACTTTTGCACGATCGCAGTGGTGCCTTTTGTGGTAACCACTGGCAAGGAAGGTGCTGTGGCGACCACTGAAAAATGCACCAGTATAACATTGCGAATAAGAACCCTCGCGTGTTGCGTAGCGCCTCTTTAAGCCTACTGCATGCTTTTACTAGCTGGCGACTACCTGAGTGCCCAGGGGCGCCAATAGCTACCGTACTGCGCTATGTTCAGCGTGCATCGCTTTGTAGTAACGAAAGTAGCTGACTGTTGCAGAGTTGAACAACACGCCACGGTATCTAAGCAGTCACGGTCTTGAAATCTAGCTACACTTTGGTGCGACTCAAGTTAACTCTGCTGCATAGGAAAAGCCTGTTAATCCTTTTTGTCCAAATAATTTTAATCACTGAAACAGCCGTTAAGTAACAGCCAGCATGCCAACTGGTGTAGATAATGTAAAGTGACGTCATTAATTCTAAGACACCTCATATGACATATACACTCTCTTAGCACTTAATTTTGAGATGAAAAAAATGAAACTAACACTGTTCTCGTTCACCCGAGCACCACATTCACGAGGGCAACGTTGAGGTCTATATGAGCTTTACCCGCTTGCGGGCCGGCTTTACTTGCACATTCAAGGCACGTTCTCGTTGCAGGAACCGCGCATAAGAATGCATACGTGTCACCAAGTAAAATTTTATGATCCAGGTGGAGAACTCCTCAAAGTGCACCTGACATCCAGCACGCACAAGATTATTTTGGCTGAGCTCTTCTACAATTTTTCAAAGCAGGTCTTCGGACACCTCCTTTGATGGCGTCTTTTCTTCAATTACGTCCTCAATCTCTAAAGGTAGACATGTCAGGGCACTTGAAGGTTGCTGCAGGGCGCCGGGTACATATGATAGCATTTCGGTTAGGATGGCCACTGGTAAAACATTGCAGGTTCCCGTGAGCGTGCCAAGACAGTCAGCACAGGTGGAATTTCTCTGGTTTTTCCACGACATACCCAGCAAGGTGTATAAAACCGCATCTCTTGCGACGTGGTGATTGTAGTTATGCTGGGATTCATCACTAGGTGCGTGCTCTAGCAACTGAATCTGCAAAAAGAACCCAGCCAGGCTTCTTCTCGAGCCTACTTTTGGGCTAGAGCTGTCCACTTGCCTGCATAAAGGCTTTCCTCAACAGAGATGAGTAAGCAGGCAGGTTGGGAAAAATCTTCGGAACCGCACCATCAATGAGGCTCTATTTTCCACATTGCGTTTTGACAACAGTTCCAATAATGACATGCATGTAGTTCTTGCAGATATCTTGCGCGTGAAAATGGACATCACAAACCTTGAATTTCACCGAGAGTTCTTTGTCAGCGTGCCGAATGGCCCTGTTCCATGCGTAGTGACACGCACGCAGGCGCATACACACACACCACACACACTCACACACACACCAAAACAGAACTGTCTCATAGGGCTCAGAGACCGGACGTTCACAAGTAATTTTCAGGCAAAGCGGCAGGCACGATCAAAGGCCGCGTAGTCCATGCGCTGTATCTGTTGCATGGAGTGGCGAGCCACATCCAGCAGCAAAGAATGCCTGTGTTATTTTTCGTCATGTCTTGCAGTGTCACTAAAACTAAATTACGACGTTTGCTCAGGTAGGCCTTCACGTGGGCCTTGAATTTCGAGAAGGATTCTTCTATAGGGTTAAAGAAGGGAATGTACGCTGGCAGGCGCTTAACAGAGTGCAGGGAGTTAGCAAAAGCCGCCTGTTCTGCTCGAGCGTGAGCAGGCGCGTTATCAAAAAGGAATACAGCTTCGGTATTTGGCTCATCACGTTCTATGCAGGCGGAAACATCGCTGAAGAATTAATTAAAAACAACCCAATGAACTTCGTCCACCACAGTCCAGTGAATAACTCCGTTTGCGGACAAGCATGCTGTAATGTTTAAGTTCGCCCCCTTTGTCGTTGTGGTCATGTGCACAGCTGGTTGTTCTTTAGCTGCCCACCCGAAGTTCCTGGAACGCCAGATATTGAAGTTAGTCTCATTCAAATAGGAGCGGCAAACACGGGGTCCATCAGACTGCAGCCATTGGGCGTACAGCATGCGGCTGTGCTTGGTATCGTCACGGTTGCGATCTGTATGCCTCTGCATCACTAGCTTCATCGAGTAGCAGTGGGCATCCAGCAAGCGGTCGCCTGTGCTTGCACTGATTGTTACTCCTAGCATTTCTTTCTCCAGGGCCACCTTTATTTGCTTCAATGTAAATGTACAGTTTTCGTCGACAATTTGTCTCAAAGTACTCACGACGTCATCTCCAAACTTCCTTTTTGAACCCCCACCATGCTTTGATGTTT